GACGTGACACCGAAACACCGGGCTTCCGCGGATAGAAGGCGAGCTTGGAAGCCACGCCTGACGTCCGCCATCAGGAGGGCGACGCCCACCCACCGCGCAGGCGGTCTCTCTCGGCCCCGGGCCGGCCGCAGCCTCCAGGCCGTGCAGCAAGTGTGCGGGAGCGGAAGCCCACCAGGCCGCGGGGCACAGAAAGTGGACTCAGAGGCGCCTGAGCACACCTGACCCTGTCTGCGCCCCCAGGTCACCAGTGCGCCCTTCCCCGGGAGTAGGGAACAGCCGGCAGTTCTCTCCGAATGAAGCATCAGGCTGGAATCGGGGCCCCACCTTCATGGACCTCTCAAACCCTGAGTCTGGCAAAGCCAAGGGAGGAAAGAGGTTCCGGTTGGAGCACAGTTTGAGTTTTGATACTTTACTGTACTGGACCTTTTATGAGTCATAATTTTGGGTTTTTTTAGTATCTTGGAAAGGGAAAAAATTGTAAAAATCCGTCTGAGAATTCACTGGTAAGCGTTTCTAGAGACAGTCATGGGAGAAAATAATGTTCCCTACCAATTCCAGCTTGTTCAATGAACTGGATACAAAAGACTGAAGTTTTGGGCATGAACAACTAGGCAGAGGATGGTGTCATTTACAAAAGTAGAGAAGGTGTTGGGGAAAATTTCAGCTTAGATTGGGGATAATTTAAAACAGAGATGATCGGGGCGCCTGGGTGGCTCAGTTGGTTGAGCGACTGCCTTCGGCTCAGGTCAGGATCCTGGAGTCCCGGGATCGAGTCCCGCATCGGGCTCCCTGCTCGGCGGGGGGTCTGCTTCTCCCTCGGACCCTCCCCCCTCATGCTCTCTCTCTCTCTTATTCTCTCTCAAATAAATAAAATCTTTTAAAAAAAACAGATGATCATTAGACATGCAAGTAGGTACATTGGAGTGGGCTGGTGTTCAAGAGAGGACAAGGCTAGAGAGAGGAATTGAAGAGTTACCTATTTTTAGGTGATATTTGAAAACAAGATTGGACAAGATCAACTAGAGAATGAGTATTCCAAAGAAAAGATTTTCAGGATGAGCCCTGTGGCACCAATAGTTTCCAGTTCAGAAGAGGAGTGGCCAGAGAAACAGGAAAAAAACCAGAGGAATGTGGAGTCAGGGAAGCAAAGTGAAGACATGGTGGTCTGTGTAGCGGTTTTGGAGGGATTGTAAAATGAGGTGTGAGAATTGATGATTAGATGTGGCAGGACAACTTACTGGTGACTGATAAGAAGAATCTTAGGAAATGTGAAGACAAAACACTGGTGGCAGAGTTTTGGTTTTTTTAAGGGTGAAATTTCCAGTTGAACGTGTCAGACTGAGCACAGGCATTGGCTTCCATTTCCCATCCAAGCTCTACTTACATCAAGTAATAAAGGATAGGGGCGCCTGAGTGGCTCAGTCGTTAAGCGTCTGCCTTCGGCTCAGGCCCTGATCCCAGGGTCCTGGGATCGAGCCCCGCATCGGGCTCCCTGCTCGGCGGGGAGCCTGCTTCTCCCTCTCCCACTCCCCCTGCTTGTGTTCCTGCTTTGGCTGTCTCTCTCTCTCTCTCTCTCTCTGTCAAATAAATAAATAAAATCTTTAAAAAAATAACTCACAGTTTAAGAACAGGAGAGGAGCTACCAGGAAACTAAGAGATCAACAAAATTCTAGAGGCTGTGATGTAAGGAGGGATAACCAACTTAGCAAGCCAGAGGAAAGCTGAAACCCATATATTGGGGTGAGGCCATCAAGAAGAGACCATTCTTGCTAATGAACCCAAGGAAGGTGCGGAAAATGGAAGACCTTTGAATAAGCAGTAGGATGATAGATCCCTTCCCCCGAAAAAAAAAGAAAGAAAACTCTGCCACCAGCCTTTTCTCTTCACCTTTCCTAAGATTGCTCTTATCAGTCACCAGTAAGTTGTCTTGTCACATCTAACAATTCAGTCAGAGCAGGGGTGAACTCAGGAACCAAACACAGCTGAGGGCCACTGCAAATGGGGTAGGAGTAAAAGCCTTACATTCGTGGAGGAGCACAGTCCTGCTTCTTCCACTTAGCCATACAGCTTTGGGCAGTAAGAAGAGGATTTTTCTGGAGCAAATGGCCCCAAAACACCTGCAAACATTGGCATCTGAGACCCAGTGGATACGTGGAGAAGCCTATCAGCTGGCAGGCTGTAACCATTGACACAGAGCTTCCAACAAGCTCCTCAGAGCCCCATCATGAACATAAGCCAGACATTTGAGGAAAGCCTCTATGAAGACAGACAACAAAACACACCAAAAAAGGAAATTTTGAGAAATGGAGATGGTGCAAGGTGTGGAAAAGGACTTTGACAAAAACATGTCCTCACAGAGGTAGGATGTTGTACCCATGAAACAAGAACCATCTGACACTCTTTCCCTCCCTTATTTTCCTCATTGCTTACTACCAATTAGCATACCAAACAATTTGCATATTTATCTTGTTTATTGCATATCTCCCCGCTAAAATACAAGCCCTGTGAGGGCTGAAATTTGTTTGTTGCCATATCCCCAGCGCCTGGAATAATGCCTAGCACATAGTAAACATTCGAAAAATATATACTGAATAAAAGAATGGACAGGATTCAAATAAATAAGAAACATTAAGAAAAAAGACTCAGGAATAAAAAATACAGCAACAGATTTTAAAAGTCACTAGAATAGGAAGATAAAATAGGGAAATTTTAGGGTAGGAGGTTAAAAAGTAAAGATATAAAAAATAAAGGAGAGAAGAAAATTAGAGGATCAGGGCACCTGGGTGGCTCAGTCAAGCATCTGCCTTCAGCTCAGGTCACGATCCAAGGTCCTAGGATCGAGCCCTGCATCAGGCTTCCCACTCAGCAGGGAGTCTTCTCCCTCTGCCTCCCCCCACACCCCAGCTTGTGCTCTCTCTCTCAAATAAATAAAATCTTTAAAAAAAAAAAAAGAAAGAAAGAAAATTAGAGGATTAATCCAGGTTGTCAAACATCTAAATATTAGGAGTTCCAAAGGGAAACAGTGGAGGCGAAGAATATATTAAATAATTTCAAAAAACTCCAGCATAGGTGGATAATTTTCCAGACTGATAAAGCATGGCAGATTGTTTTCCAAAGATTCCTGCTGGGGTGCCCTGGTGGCTTAGTTGACTAGTTGAGCATCCAACACTTGATTTTAGCCTAGGTCATGATCTCAGGGTTGTGAGGTCGAGCCCTACAACAGGCTCTGCGCCGGGCGTGGAGCCTGCTTGGCATCCTCTCTCTCTCTCTGAAACAAAAGATTCCTGCAACATCTCCCATCTCACATGCTCTTATACAATATGATCTTAACATTCATCCCCATTGATAAATGGTATCTGTGTCCCATCCCTTGCATCTCTAACCACATGCTTATAATACAGTGCTATGCAAGTTATCCTGCATGAGTTCCAAAGCTGGGCTTTTGCATTTTGCTCACTAGGGCCCTTGCACTTGGAGCCCTGAGATTCCATGTAAGAAATTTCACTACCCTGAGGCCACCTGGCTATGAGTAAGTCAAGCCACATAGTGAGGTCACATATTGGCCACTCAGGTTGAAAGCCCCAGCTGTTCCCCCAGCCGACAGTGCAACATCACCTGCCAGCCATGTGAATGAACTTGTCTTGGACACCCAACCTAGTCAAGCCTTCAGGTGACTGCAGCCCCCTGCTAATACCTGACTGCAACTACATGAAAAAATCCCAAGAGAAAACTGCCCAGCCAAATCCTTCCCAAATTTAAGCTACTATGTATGTTTGGGGTAGTTTGTCACACAGCAGTAACACTAGAGAGAAAAGCACTACTACGTGCTCAGCACAATTTGGGCAATAGGGGAGGGAGACCAATGCATCAAGCATGTTGTTGAGAAATTTAAGAACACCAGGGGCAGAGATGATTTGTAAAACTTCCAGCAACAAAAAACAAAAACATAGGGGAATGGTTACCAACCTAAAATCCCATTTCCATTAAGGGTAGAAATAAAGACAAGATATGCAAGCTCAGAAAGCTGCTAGAAAACGGGCTCCATCAAAATGAGAAAGCGAGAAAAGGAAGAGGA